ATGGCCGAGGCATGCGGGCCGGGCCTGTACCTGCTCCAAGAGGCTGCTGGCCGACATGGCTTCTCGGATCCTCACGGGTGCGACGGCGGCGGACTCTCCTCAGGGCGGCGGCGGCGGATGAGCCCCGACGGCGGGAGCAGGCGGCGCGGGGGCGGCTTTTGTCCCTGACACTCGGGGGCCTCGGCGGACGCAGCGGAGACACAGCGCGCGGCTCGGGCTCCGGCTCCGACTCGGCGACGCTCTAGCCCTAGAGCTCAACGCCCGTCTCTATGCCTTTACGCGCGCGCCCGCCCCTCGCAGCCGAAATAAGAGCGCCGAGCTGCAGAGGCGAACGGCGAGCGCGGCGCGACGCTGACTCTCACATTCACTCACCCACGCGGAAGGGGACCGGCGCGAAGCACCTCGGGAAGGACGAGGCGGGGCCGCACCGCCCTCTGGTGGGCTGGAGGAGCGGAAGCGGCGAGCTGGGCCTCCCCCACCCCACCTCCTCGGGGTTGGGGCCTAGGAGGGTGGGGGCGGCCAGGGTCGCACCATGAGGTTGTAACTAACACCTAGAGGGAATAACTTTAGCGTGAGAAAACCCACAAAAACCTGCATTTCAGTGAGAAAGTGACCCCCCCAAGCCTGAGAGACCTTTAAATAAACCTGCTTCCCAGATGCAGATGGCACCCCACCCCCATCTGGGAGGGGATGTAAAGAAGGGTTACAGAGCCCCCAGGGAAACATCATGGGAGCCCTGCCTTTCAGAAAGACACACACGCCCCCTCCCCCCGGCGCCTGGTTATCCTCATCTATTAGACAGCAAAAAATACATAGAGAACAAAAACATCCACGAAAAATCAGATCTTAAAAAGAGATTCAGCCTTGGCATTGCAGGGAAGAAAATCTACAATTTTTTAGGTAAATCACTGTTCCCCATAATCTGTTAAACTGTGGACTTTATTTCCAAGGAAGACACACCTTACGCATGTACACAAAATTTTACACGTACTTTCAATGAGTCCAGAGAACCTATAAATCTAGGGACTACAAGAGGAAATGTCCTTCTCTAGGAAAGAAAGGACATTAACACTACTTGAATACCTGCTGTGGGTTAGGTTTTGTCGTTAGGTGCATTTGAATATATTAAAGGCTTTCAGCATCTTCAACATAGCTACCAGTCTCTATTTTACAACTGGGGAAATGGGGTAAGTAATGTGGCCAAAGTCACAAAGCTATTAAATAGGTGTATCTGACACCAAGAAGAACATAATAGTGTCCCTCCTCTCCCAAGAGAAATCCTGTATTCAGGAACCAGAATCCAGAGGAGATCCAAAGGATGGGCAAAAGCTTTTTTAATCAGAGACAAACTCAGCTCATGAAGGGATATTTGATCCTAGGACAGCCCATCTCCTAATAACTTTCGGTATTGCAAATAGTAGGCGGCTTTGGTGGATTCGGTAGTAAAATAAATGATAACATGGAGTCCTGGATTTTGTATCTTAATTTTGTACAGAATGCTTAAAGCATTTTTGCTGGCCTTAATGGCATTTATGATTGGAATGAATAAATTCAGGCACCGAATGTGATGGATTTCTGGAAGAGACAGTAAAATGTCAAGTCTCACAGAATAGATCTCACCAAGGGAATGAAAAAAACCTAGTAATCCTTTTTTTTTTTTTTTAAAGATAGCTAACCCCATGGCCCAGATTTATGTATAAACTGTAAGCAGTTGCCTACATTTACCCTTGGTATGGTATGATGAAAGGATTAACCAGGAGTCTTATCCTGTAGGATTGGAGGGGACCAAATAGTGGCCTCCCCACCAGATTTGCAACATTAGGTAAATTGCTAAACCTTTCAGAAATTCCCTCATTTGATAAAGGGATAATATCTCCTTAAAAGGTTTGTTGTGAAGATAATTTAAAACAAAATAACAGACGTTTAAGCAAGTGTGGTACATTGCATGTTCCTTTCCTATAATTCCATTAAGGCATGATAGTGAAAATTCCCTCCTTCCAGTGGTATCTTCATAGTACCTGAAATTTTGATTAGTTCCTTTAGGATTATTTACTGTCATCTGGGAGTTTCCAGTTAAAATACAAACATCCTTAGGGAAAGGTAATCTCTAAACCTGGGTTTAGTTCACCAGGCTGGCTTTAACAGGGCTCTGAACAGAACACAAAAGACTGATATACTTAATCAGTGGGAAGAGGGAGAGGAAGTCTGGAGTGTGGGTTATCATCTTATGGCACAGACCTCTCATGGTTGAAGAAAAGAGAACTAAACTGGAAATGAGTTTGTCTTCTAGTTTCAGCTCTGCAACTGCGGTTAAAGCATCCAAACCCTCTTTCAACCAGTATTTATGAGGATCAGGCGGTGTGCTGGAGAATCTTAAGAGTTTACTTTCCCTTTAATTTATAGACTTGTCAGGGAAACTGACAGTAAGCAAATAGTTTTTGAATTACAGTTGTGCAAAGCACAGTAAGAAAGCATAGACGGACCTAACCTAGTCAGGGAGGCTAAGGAAGTTTTCCCTGAGAGCCTGAGCTTCAGCTAAAACCTGAAGGATGACCAGAAATTGACCAAACAAGGAGGGCCAGAAGTGAGGGTACAATATGTACAAAGTCCCCAAGAAGAGAAAGAGTTTGGCATTGGTGAGGAACTAAAAGAATGCCAGCGTGACTGGCACATAATGTGAGAGAGGGCGGAACCAGATAAGACTGCAGAATTGGGCAGAAAGTAGAAAAATAGGGACTTTAGATGTTAGCTACAAAGGATGATTGGCTAGTAAAGGGTTAATAGGAGCATAGCATTCTCAGGTTTATGTTTTAAGAAGTTAACTCTGGTTGCAGTGTGGGAAATAGATTTAGGGAGAAAAGAGAAGATTAGGAATTATAAGAGTATTGTAGTAAGTCCAGGCAAAAGATAATGGTCTAATGTAGTAGTGAAGACAGTGAGAAATAGACAAAATGGACATTTTAAGAGATAAAATGGTGATAAATTGATTGAATCAGGGGAGGTCACTAAAGAAGAAGCAGATATCAAGGATGATACCTGTTTGATCTGAGTAACTGGGTAGATGAGGTGCCATTTTCTAATGTGGGGGATATTGGAGGAGATTTGTGGGGGTGGTAGTTGAAGCCAAAGGAGTCCAAGAGATTTCCTCGGAAGAGAGAGAGAAGAGGAAATGGCCCAGCACCAAACCAGAGAGAAAGAAAGGGAAACAAGGAGAGTAAATCATTTCCTCATTTAGAGTGTTTTCAAGACTGTAAAATAAGGAAGTTGGACCAAAATAACTTATAAGTTTCCTTCTAGTTCCACCATTTTAAACTTCTGGAAGGTGGAAACCAAAGACATTTTTCTGGATATGTAAAGGGGACAGTGGAGATCAGAGAGAGAAAAGAGGTAGGAAAGGAGGACAGATTTTACATTCTCTCAGGAACAGCAGATCTCATTACCCAAGTAGACCCCTTAGTAAGGCAGGAATAGAAGAGGCCTCCCTTTAGAAATGTTTATATACTTTACACAACTGACTGTAAAAATTTATTTTAAAGATTTCTGCTGGCTCTCTAGTCCACGCAATGTACAAAGCTTGCCACTCTGGCCCTGTATGTTTCTCACTGTGTACTTTATACTCCAGCTACACTGAATTTTTTTCCCAAATACATATTTTTTTTCTGGAACTCACGATTTTATACATGTAGTTCTTTCTGCCTCGGATATCCTTCCCCTCTCTTCCACCAAACTTCTATCTGTCCTTCAAGACCATGATCAATGAAGGTTTATTTCTTCCCCCAAGCAGAAAGAAGGTGCCCTGCTCTTTGTTCATTCATAATATCGTTCATATTTCCTTACAGTAATTTATTTTAGTATATTAAAATCATGTTTACACCAATATTTTTTTCTTTTGGAAGTCTTAGACTCAGTTGAGAATCTAACGATAGTAATGAATCTTCTCAGAAAAATACACAAACACCCAAATTTTTACTTACGATCTCATTAAGCACTCCTTGCCCCAAGCCCATCCACCCCATGAACCCTAGGTTAAGACAACCAATCCCTAGCTTACATATTACCTCTCCAATAAATCTGACTGCTTATAGGACAAAACACATTTTTGTTATTAATGTTTATAATCCAATGCTAAGTAAATGTTTGTCGAATTAATTTATTTCACTCATTTTCAGAATTCTCCCTAATAATGTTAATCTCATTTTATTAATGAAAACCTGGTTGGACCATTTGTTTTAAAAAGTTAAATGCACAAACTTATCTAGCTTAATTGAATGTTAAAGAAAGGCACTGTAGAAATCCCAAGATAAGTTGATGATTGGCTTTTTAATACACAGGTGTGCCTTATGAATCATGGAATGGAGGTGTGAAAAGAGCAATGTGAGAACGAGGCTAAAGAAAGAAAAGAGAGCTGGGCCAGGTGGCCTTAGAACACTAGGAATCCACAGCTGTGTATATCCATGAGCAACTTTAGAGATATCAAGGACAGAAAGAACAAGAACCAAGAAAGAGCCAGCAGTAAAGGAGCCTTGAAGATTGAACTCAGTCTAGAGGTGAGAGCAGAAATTTTCAGCAGTCCTCCAGGAAATGAGAAAGCTAATGATAATGTAATGAGTTCTTCATAAAGTTAAACTTATTCAATGTAGAGGACTGTTCTTTATTGTGAGATTATTTCTTCTAACTTTTTAATGTAAAAATGCCCTTTTAAATGATGCCAACAGAGATGGCATCATTTAAAAAAATCCTTATTTGCTAAAATATAATGTTGGTAATCCCGTGTTGATTACTAAGACTTTTTTTTTTTTTGTATCTTTTATTGTTACATGGGATCTAAAAGTCCAAGTAGCATTGTGCTAGAGAAGTTTACATTACAGTCTTGATCAAAGACAATAGGCAAGAGAGAAGAATGGAGCATACACAGATTTCCGGAAATAGTGCCAAGGGGAAATGAAGACAGGGAACCCCTAGGACTGGTTCAATTTTAAATCTGTGCCAAGAAAAAATAGTTAAATCAGTGAATGTATGTCTAAACTATTTGTGACAATTTTTATAGATAAATCTTTCCCTTTTGGTCTTTGAGTGGTAGCTACAGAGAACTTAAATAAGGCAAGAATATGAGGCTATGTCAAATTTACTCAGAAAGGCTAACCAGAATGTCTCAGTCAATGGAAGTGTTAAGTTGGCATTTCCGAGGCATAGTAATTCCATTTTTGTTCCTGGAGCAGGGGAATATTTGCTTTTTGCTCAGTTGGCAGAGGCTTTACAATGCTATCAACGTTTTGTGGAGTAGGTTCTCTGTATAACAACTGCCACAGGGGGTTGGGCTCTGAACAGTAGGAGCTTAGCAAAAAAATGAAGAAGTTCTACCCAGGAATCCTAACATTGGCATCAACTCAATCAGGGCCATTAACAAAGTGATAAATCAGTACTTCCTGTGACAGATGGACAGGTAATCTGGGTTCAAAATCCTTCATCAGGGAAGTGGACTTTCCCCCTCCACAGTACTCCATTTTCAGTACTCTTGAGAGATGGTGAGTGGAAGTTGCTGCCCA